GTGGTTCCCGCAATAACCATAATATTTAGCTAAAGCATTCCGAGTATTTTCTCATGAGCTCATAAATCAATTAAATCGTTTTGCTGATGGCTATTCGAAAAGCAGAAAATGTATTGTCTAGGAGATTTTTTAGGGTGGTGCTGAACTTCTGTAGTGGGTACTAGGTGGGGTGTACCCCCATAGGTGGGGTGTACCCCCATGGTAGATCGACCCCTGGATTAATTATTTCACCAGAGCTATAATACTAATGCAAATGTTGGATTTAAATCAAATCAAATCCAAACCATTATTAATTCTCGTTGCAGAGTGACGACAGCAACGCCAGCAACAACTAAAAAGAACAATGCAGAAACTAACAATGAACTGATTAGGCAGTTAGATGACTTATTTCAAGATAGTTAAATTTAATAATCATAATGTGAAAGTGATTCAATGTAGATTAAGAAACACAGGGTAATTATTTTGAATTTAGGCTAAAATATATTAAATAGGAGAAATGAATCTAATATCCAGTTTATTTGCCCAGAAGATAACATAGTCCAGTTCCCATAGGAAATTGCCGATAAAATAGACAAATTCTTGGAAGAATTTGGAGACAGAAACTTTTTAGTTTCCCATCTAATCTTGACTAGTTTGGTAACAGGAAATTCACTGTATCTGTTTGGGGCAGAGCTTCTAAATTTCCAACAAAAGCACAATTTTTCATCTGGTTTGACCATTTTATTTTACATAGGGGTGGTTGCCCCCCCCCCCCCCCCCAAAAAAAAAAATCAACTACTGGATGGAAGATGGTCAATAATCAGCATATTGGGCATTAATGGAAAACTGTGTTATGGTACTATTTATATTGGTGGGTTCTGTTGCACACTGACATTTTTGTGGATTGGGGGGAGGGGGGCACTCAACACCTATCACCTACAATATATTTAGTCCCATATTACTAGTAAGCAATTATGTGTAGACCACTAGACTATTTTGTGTTGTCAAATATATAATTTGGAACCATGTTGGTCCCTTTCAACAAAAGAATCTCATTAACTTCTTTTGAATTGGGTCGGCCTCGCAGTGCCTCGGAAGAGTGCTTTCCATTGGCTCGACTTGACAATTGCTTTTCAAATTTTGTGTTTAGAACAATGACATTGCTTCATTCTTTAAAAAAACCCCATCCAATTGGAGACAACCTTCCGAGGCACTGCAAGGCTCCCCTTTGAATTTGGCACCAACATGGCCGCCGTGTCATTGTCTTCTCAAGGAATTGATTGCAAGCCAAGAATAATTTTTAGTATTTTTAAAATACCTCCAAGGAATTTATTAATTTAATGCAAGGCGCAGCCAAGCGTTTTATGTCGGATAAAACACTCATACTTGTGTTTTAAATAGCTTAAAATACAACTACAAAATAATATACTAACTAGGACAAAGAATTCTATAAGAATACTAATTAGGATGAACGATTATATGATGCACGTGCATATATGTGTTTTATCAGATATAAGGTCGCTCCACATGACGTAATATGGCTGACATGATTTGCCACAAGGTTTATGAATCATTAATGTCTTCATTCATGAATGTATTCATGCATTTCCATATCACCTGACGCCAGTGTGGAAAGTTTGTATCGCGCGGCAGATATCTCCGGCGCGCAATTTTGATGCTTTCTATATATTTACTATTAAATTTTCGAAATCTCTGGCACGCAATTTCCAAACTTTCCAGTCTGGACCTGACGTATAGAGTGCACCAGAAACTAAATACTTCAGGAATACAATTTCATCCCGGGGGTGGGGAATTTTGCCCAGGAATTTTGTCCCGAGGGAGTGGCATTTGACATTTTTTCTGTAAAAATGTCAAATCACCACCCCTTGCCCGACCCCTCCCCTCCCTCGGGGTTAACATTGATAGGTGCATAATATACACGTCTAAACTCCACTTTTTTCAACTTTCGAACTGGATATTAAATAGGTGGACTTCAATGATCTGGTTTCTTGTACTTCACTTGGTGGTATCAATATTTGAATGCTGTTCTTAGGGTTTGTAATCCAAGATTTCCTACCAGAGGACCTTGTGCTGCATTTTTTGCAGTCGTTCCTGGTCAGGTCTTAAAATGTATATATATACTCACTTGGATTACAAACCCTAAGAACAGCATTTGGATATTAAATACTCTAGCTAAATATAATTCTCATAACATACCTAAGGTTGGACTGTAATAGTTTAAAAACCAGTAAAACACCACAAATGTGGGAAAAATTGTCTTTACAAATTACAATAGACTTGAAAAACATTCATTCAATATTAATTTCCCAACTAAAGTTCATATTTCCCTCATTTCCGAACTTGTAACGAAGTTGATACGAACTGTAAACGACGACGAGCCGATCATTCACGTCCACTGATCTCAAAAATAAGGCTGGATGGAGTCGCCCTACAGGCTTGATTGACGGCGAAATTCTTTGCGAGAAATTGTGTCTGTGAAATACGCATGGACGCCGGAACGATGTGGATGCAAGGGAGGGGGGGGGGGGGCAGATTTTCGTGAACGGGCACTTTTGAATTGATATATACTAAGAGATGTTTGCAAAACATCGGGAGTTGAACTTCGCCTAATCATGTTTTCTATTTATTGGATGATAGGGGTGTGAGCGGGTTCTCCGCCAGACAATTGTGCTATTCTTGAAGCTCGATGACTGCATTTCTTGCGTTTTCTGAAGCAAATTCGTAAAAGAATTGCACTAACATTTCTGACAATTCGCTACTGCGCCAAGGCAATCCTTTAAATTGAAAGGGCACCTTTGCCCCCTTGGTAAAGGGCAACGGGGGCGGCTGCCCCTCCTGCCCCACCCTCCCCCCGGTTCCGGCGTCCCTGGAAATACGGATGGTTGCACATGAGGGATTCCATTGCATTTTCCCACTTTTGCAGTGAGCGCCGGAACCAACTTCTACTCACTGGACACTGGTGAAGCGAATTTTTTTCTCGCGAAGCCTAATTTATCTATACTGCCCATGCACCTAATTAATTTGCGCGAAAGTTTTTGCGTTTCGGCGAAGCGCCCGTGGAATCAAGCCTTAAAATAAACGAACATATGCAAAGTTTCTGTACATGGGTATATTTAATTTAATTACTAGTATTACTAATTATTAACTCAATTGACGGTTAATAGAAAAATAATTACAGGATGAGTGCTTACTGAAAACAAATGCAATATTAGACCTTTACGTCAAACGCGGGAAAAACACTGAATGCGATGTACCAAGGGACAAATTTTAGCGACAATTCGCAATGCAAATGTGTTTTTACGAAATTTATTGGCTCGCCAACGACTTGCATTGACCTCGCCAACGACTTGCTCGCCAACGAGTGGTACACTATCAAAGTGTGATCACCGTAGGAATTTTGCATGGATAAATGCAGGTAAATTCTAAGTTTTGAAGGATTTGTAAGAATTGTTTGAGAGCACAGACTCAGTATTCAACACTTCCTTCAAAACTTAGAATTTACCCATGCAAAATTCCTGCTGTGATCGCAGAAGCTTTGATAGCCTTAAGAAAGGTCTATTGCAATAAATTTAATATAAATATCGTTACAGTAAAATGTTGATGTACAGATAAAACATCATATCGTCGTCAATAGGATCAAGTATGGATTATGCTGATTACATGAAAAATAATTGTTAAGGAGTAATAAGTGATACGCCATTCAAAAACATGCTCTTTTTCCCCTGGTACGGTATGCGTGCTCGGTTTCGACTCTCGTTTCGCTTGCTAAAATACATTTTGTTGCACAGCTGACCAATATGCAACCGCAGCCAATTCACGGGTACAACACCGATTCTATATACAATTAAAGCTCGAAGCATTGAAGCTAAACTGGAGCTTGATATTTCTCCAAGATAAAAATTACGAAGCCTGAAATTTCTTCGAGTTTATGAGCTCATTTCCACTCACGAAACTTTTCCACGGACAGAAAATATTCCGAAAATATCATTGTTAAAGGGAGAAAATTTTCAACTTCAAAACTTTTTTCCGACGGAAAATTTTTGTCGGCCAATCAGATTTTACAAAATTTTCTTCTGCGGAAAATCTTCTCGAGTGGAAATGGGCGTTATGATGTAAATGAATTATTAGAGACCTTAAGATTGACGTTTACGGCAAACGTCAAACCGCTAGCGAAGTTTTTTATTTTACAACTCTATTATTATAGATTTTACACCAGTTTTGAAATATGCTAAAGTTATTAAACTTGTGCTCTTTAGCAATGATTTAAGAAAGCAAATTAACCACTAGTCATGCCATTCACCAAAGCAGTAAATTAAGATTTGGCGTTTGAAGTTGGCGTTTGGCGTATAAATTTCATGCTTTAACGACTACAAGCCCTCGTAGCAGTTCAAGCATGAAATTTATACGCCAAACGCCAACTTCAAACGCCAAATCTTAATTTACTGCTTTGGTGAATGGCATGACTAGTGGTTAATTTGCTTTCTTAAATCATTGCTAAAGAGCACAAGTTTAATAACTTTAGCATATTTCAAAACTAGTGTAAAAGCTATAATAATAGAGTTGTAAAATAAAAAACTTCGCTAGCGGTTTGACGTTTGCCGTAAATGTTAATCTTAAGGTCTCTATTAAATGCCATCAAACTACAGCAACTCTGAGTTCAACATCCTGAGATCCAGATTCAATCCCGGGTTTTGGATTCCTACCGTGAGCGGACTCCGAGGTGGTGTCTATAACCTGACTATTGGAACTCGACGTCGATTCCTCTTGACTATTTTCATTTGAGCGGGTACTATCATCTGATAGTGTCCTAGCCCGCATTGGATATTGTTCCGTATTAACCCTGCTAGGAGGGTTGTGATCTCTATCTCTGAGGTGAGAATTCCCCACATTATTTAGTACCCAGGGATTTTCCTGGTCATCCAATGGTGACGAGTTCTGGTTAGGACTTGATGCTGCTGAACTATCACTCTCCGATTGATTTACTATCAAGTTTTCAATACCGGGCATTACACCCGGGGTATTGTCCACTTCAGTTGCATTATCCGTAGTGTTTTCTGGGATAGACGTCGAGACATCCCCATTGGCTAAGCCAGGGTAAGGGGGAGGGGGGTACTCGGGTATTTCGTCCAGGTCATCACTGGCTATAGAATGTGTGAATGATTGACGATGCAGTTGGGGTGAGGCCGAGCCAGAACCTGGTAAAGAGCCCATGTGTTGGTTCAACAATGCTCGTCTGTGTAGCGAGAGGTGTGGTGTGGTCTCTGGGGTAGCATGAGGGCTATCTTGGGGTGTTGGTGGATACAAGTCTGGACAAGCCATCACTAAAACGAGAGAGAACAGCTTATGTTAGCAGAGGCATTAGCTGTGTTATTGTTGTTAGCGATATTTTGAACCATTTTGAACAGTTGGTAGTAAAAGTAACGCTAATTCCAATAAAATTAACACGTTCAGTTGCATTGCACTCTAATGCGCCCTGCTTTGTTATTTTACTCTGTCTAACGCCAGACAATTTCATTCGTCAAGACAAGAGCGCTGGCACTCAAATGCCTATCTGAAACTACAGATATGGACCTCAGAATAAATATTAAATACTCTTTAATTTAAAATTACTAAACTTTAATCTAAACTGTAATGTTAGAAGTTTGAAGAAAAACCCATCCGCGGGTGGTTGTTCAAAAGCCGGTTATCTTAATCCTGGGGTAGCATGAAATTCAAACTTTTCAAAGCATACACTTGTTTATAAATTTGAAAATATTTGTTCAGAAATCATGTCTGAAATCATGTCTGAAGTTTCATTTTCTAAAGTTTTGAAATAAACAGACGTACAGTATAGATATACATAAACCAAAGCAATGCGTTAAATTTAACCCACAGTTGGCGCCAATCGTTCTTTGAACAATCGGGCCATCATACACAACTGCCCCCCTCCCCTCCCGGTGCTTGTACCTGCATCATACGAGGGGGGTGCATTATCCGCAACGACGTCAGGTCTGTCATCCTCTTCTTGGCAACTGGCACTGGGTAAAGTTCTACGTGTTGTATCTCGATGGTTACTTCGTCTTGCAGAGATTATAGTGAGACAACTGAACAATGTGAACAATGCTATACATATAGCACCCACCACAACACCAACATACTGGATGTCACCAACATCGTTGGTTGGTTCACCTAAAATAAAATATAATATTCTTGATTTTGTTTTGTTTCTGGTGAAGATATATGTTCAGGTGCGGATCTGGATTTGCTAGAGGGAGTGGTGGTTTTCAAGAGGGGGTGCAATACTACGGGGGTACATTACTATTTTTTAAATTTGAAGCCCTGAAATGTCGGTTCGAGTGAGTGATATTTCGGGAGTCAGTCTAGTTCCTTCGTTATCAGTGTTTTTACAATCTTGAATTTTTGATGTACTAGCAAACCAAAGCTCGCGAGTTCGATTCCCAACGTGGTCAAGGAAACTTTTCAGCTTGCCCAGTGTGATCACATTCAGACACAACATCATAAACATGTGAAAAAATCTTGTAAAATAATACAAAACATACTCCAAACAACTGCGCTTTCAAAATTATTCGAGAGGTTCAGATTTGACTTCCAATACCACTACCGCTACTATTAATGGACTATTAACCAATCAAACGCGTTTGATATATCCGATTAACCAATCAAATGCGTACTAAGCCAGTGAGAGGTATCTGAACCTCTCTAATCTCTATTACACTTTGGCTACGTAGTATATACTATATACATAGTACAGTATTATATAAGTGACTTCCCCATGTTTCTGTGGGGTTTTTTTTGTGTTTACTTAGTATTATTTTTCATTGAGAATTGATTTTTATTTTATTATGATTTTCTTATATGCAATCTGTTCAGCTGTTCAGAGTCAACATTGTTGTGTAATTTAATTTTTAATACAAATAATTAACATACCATTCATTGTGGGAAAAGGTGTAGTTGTCGATGGTTTTCCTATTTTAGCATCATAGATTGTAATTCCAATATGAGGAAATTGACTACATGTGACATTAAATGAAACCTAAAAGAAAAACAATACAGTACTGTAAATGTAATAATTAAATACTCAATACAGGACAGTAAAGGTCGCCACAACTCAAGTGACAAATTGACCGGATAATGGCTGATATTATTTGCCTCGAGATTTTGTCCCCAAGGTAAGATGATGTGATGGTTACAATTTTTCCTGTGATATTTAGATACCGGGTAGATCACAGACATAATGACTTATTGCAATTTGGCCGTTTGCAGTAGCCAAAATGGTTTGACACAGCAGATACGACTTCAGATTATATGTACTTTCAACAGATTCAATGTTGCCAATACTTGTAACCAACATTCAACAATAGTTCTTCGAAATTGTCACATTTCTTGTCATTCTAGACTGCGAGTGGTCCCTCCTTTCCGTGGGTTTAGATTCCGGGCATGCGAAAGGAAAGGAAGAACTGCAGACAACACATCCAGAAATGAAATACTCGTTGCCCGCACAACCAAAATTTCCATTGGTCGAAATCGATACGCCTGTCAATCAAATCTGATACGTAGTAATTATGCTATAAATAATTTCCAGACTGGATGTTGATTTTATAAATAAACACGACATTAACGGTTCCTATTCGATATATTTAATTGGATATAATTAATGTTTATGCAAAGGCGGAGCCAACTTGACAAGGGCGAAAAGTAGGCATATTTTGTTTCTTGATGTGCTGTCGGCAGTCTCTCGTTCCTCCCGAGGGACTGCTCGCGATCTATGTCATTCTGACTTCCCAGCCACAGCTGGGTAAAAGCACCGTAACTCCGGCTGTGGCTAACCAAAAAATGCCAGAACTCATGATTATTTTATTATTGGCCTTACCTGGTGTAATAAAGTATGCATAGTACACCAGGTAAAACATGGTACATTTTCATCACACCTTACCAGGTGTGATAAAAAACAGACACCTGAAAGGTTAGGTGAGTAAATAATACAGCTGTGCGGTTCCAAAAATGTTATCTCGGTTCCGGTTTCAACCTCGGCTTGCTTCGGTTTCGGTTATTTTCAAAAAAGAAGAACAGTACAAATGTATGAACTCATTTATCATTATATGTTTCAAGCATTTTTACTAAATATATGAATTTATGCCTTTGTAAGTTTGTATAAATCTCTGAATATTTTAAAAGAACAATTGGAATTTATTTATGAAGATGTAATATTTCTTAGTTTTTAAAAAAATTTAAAGCAAGTTCACAAAAATAACTATCACAACTAAAATATCAACTATTTGAGCACTAATAGTACAGTGCGATTGTTGTGCACAATCTTGTTATTTTCCAAACATTTCAACCTGCAATCAGGTGGGCATTAAACGGGAAATTAAAACCCGAAACTACCAGTTTTTTGCGTATAGTTTTTCGGTGCTGAAAAAAGTACCGGAAGAACCAAATTTTTTAGTTAACCGCACAGCTCTAGTAAATAAGCTTAAATAACAACAACAACAATAACAACAACAACAACAACAACAATAATAATAATAGTATAACCATGTTTCTGTAACCTATTTTACTGTACCTTTATATCATCAAAGCTATCATGGTCTACACATGTTTGTGATATTCCGCTTGGCAAAGTGTCAACAGGATTACGCACCTCAGAATTTATAATGACTAAGATTAAATTTAAATACCGAGAAGGTTGAACCATAAATTGGACGCAGAAGTCTCCGGGCACTTGGTCAGATACACGATAAGTTGTAGTAATTGAAGCATATGACCGAGCTGAGTTGGAATTTGAACTGATCAAATCATAACTTGCTGGACCTAAAAATGCAAAATAAAATAGAATGAACCATTACCTACATATGTTAGTCAGCTCACTCCCCAACAGGGCTTTTCGGTTATTACCTACTTAGCCATACATGGCAAAAAATGCTCAGGTTGATGCAATACTGATGAAAACAGGATTGAACAATGTTTTGCTGCCTACATTGTTCATAGCTGTCAACAATATTGAACAATATTGTTACACCCGATTCAGGCTCGACAACATTGTTCGATATTGTTGACAAGTGTGAACAACGTGGGCAGCAAAACATTGTTCAGTCCTGTTGAGCAACGGGCTCGGCGTTTTTTGCCGTGTACACGCCAATATTGAACAATACTGTTGAGCCTGAATTGGGTGTAACAATATTGTTCAATGTGGGCAGCACAACATTGTTCAATCCTGTTTACATCAATATTGCAACAACCTGATCGTTTTTAGCCATGTAGACTTTACAACAATTGTGATATTACTTCCTTAATTTATTCAAACCCACCCTGTCAACTTTCCCTGTGGGAGAAAACCGGAGAAAACCCACAACTTTCGGCAGAGCATTGACTGACTCTTTTCACATGGGCCCGTAGCAAGAAACAAATCCACATTCTCAGAGGTGAAAGACAATTGCGACACTGAAGCCCGTAGATGCCAGTGCACCCCTTGAGAAGTAAAATCACCTTGAGACAATTTAACTCATTGAGTCGTATTGCGTCCTGATGCGCCCTACTTTATTATTTTACTCTGTCTAACACCAGGCGATTTTACTCTTCACGGGGGAGATTGCTGGCACTTAATGGGTAAATAAAGTGGGATGCATTAGGATGCAATGCAACTTAACGGGTTAAGCAAAACAAAATGAGCACTAGAACATTAACACAATAGTGCAGAATTTTATCCCCTAGCAGTCATCTGAAAACTGCCCCTTTCAAAATGGACAATGTTCAGACTGTGAGGAAATGACATGGAATAAGGTCATGTAGTATTAGCAGGGGCGAAACTTGAGGGTGGGGGGGGGGGATGGGGCACCCCCCCCCCAAAGTACAAATCATCTGGATTGGCAGGGCAAATCATCTGGATTGGCAGGGCAATGAAAGATTTTAAATGATAGAATGTAGAGTTATTAAGTAGCTTCCAGAGGGAATTGAATAGAATTTATAGACCTAAATTTTACAGATATTGGTAAAAAAAATAAGGGGTTTCATGCTTGTTTTAAACAGGAATAAAAGTCCCTACATAAATTATGACTGATTCCCCACTGAAATTTATTCTACCTCGACGGACACGATCCCAATGACAATTTCGACCATCATAAGTTTCCCAGGGATCAGGATTTAGTGCTACAATGAAAAATATCAAAATTTATCTGTTAATACTGAAGGAATTACTCTTTAATGTGTAAAACTAATTAAAGTTGTGTTAACATCACAAAACTAAAATTGTTGGTCTGGGCATACACATGTGGTGATTCTACACACAATAAAATACGGGCAAAAGACATTTTTGTCAACACAGTCATCGTATGCAAAAAACATCCCTTAAGTTTGCAACATTCTCTCTGGTGTTAAACAGATTAACATGCTGCATTCCGCAGTCATGCAAACCAATCTCAGCATAGTGGAAAAAAATTATGAGGCAGACCAAAATTTGCCAAAAACTTCCTGACAAAGCGCCAGACAAAAACGTCCCGACAAATGGTCTTTGCTCAAGTCAAAACATCAAATTTTCCCTTGTATTTTTCAGGCAGTAGCATCCCTGTCAATGAAAGCTTGTTAAAAATGCATGATAGCACTTACTTCCCACAAATGAAAACAACAGATAGATAAAAGTATGTCGGCAACCTATGGCTCTGTTGTATTAGGACCGAATGAATTCGGAGCTGTATTCAAATTTTACCTATAAGTATACTGTACATATATATATTCATGATGCATGAAACCGGGCAAGTTTAAGCACTGCTCGTAGCACAATTTCCCATGCAGACAAATGGAATGGATAAATTTGTGTAAGTCCCAAATTTGCGCAGATTCTTGTGAACAGAGTTTAAATTCCCATCTTCAATGTGTTGAAACGTCTACCCAACTGATTAAAAAAAAACACAAACAAACTATATAACCTGTTAGCAACAAAACACAACACATTTCTTGTTGACATTTTTGATGGGTCAAAGTCTGTCCTATACATTTGCTGAGCCATTCAAATAAACTTACAAAATTTCATATATGTATATATAAATAGTTGTTGGTTGCCACAAGAGCCTGTTTCATTCAAGAGGAATCATCAAGAGGCTGATAAATTTCGATTCGTATATATTTAAGAGGCTGACAAATTTCGATTTATATATATATATATATATCCAATCTTTAATATAACTAGCCTTCCTGAAAATCACTTTTAATTGTCATTACAAAAATACGAAAATGGGGGTAATGCTGACACGCTAAATTAAATCAAGGACACATATTTTACGGTGTCAAAATTTTATATTACGTTTCAATCGCACAGTACAAAAGCCATAAAAAATGTGGTGACACTCAAATACAATCAGAAAGCATATAAATTGACAGGTGCAGATAGAAATTTATGTATTGGGCGTACATTGACAAGCAATTGGCGGACAAATACTGATTTAGAATTAAATGTACATTCACGAATGAATCATGTTACAAATTTATGCCCGAAAGTAGCAAAAATAAAAGTGAAAAAATTGGTGAAATAGAGTCAGACTTATAAATCACATTCTATTTGAAACACTAATAGATTAGTGACACAAATACTCTCGTTACATCGTTAAGTTATACCTTACCTTCAGCGTAAATTGTTATCAAAATTAAAACCAGGAATTTATGGAATAGCACTAAACCCTCTGACATATCCAGAAGAATCGACGTTTATTTGCTCAAACAGAATAACGATCAAATTGTTTGTTTTGGTGCTTTTCCACTACTTCGAAAGCTCCTTTATTAAATCGTTTCAAAAGCCAAAGATTGAAGCTAAATAACACGCCGTATTTGTATAAACGATGGGCGATATTGCCGATATACAAGCGAACATTATATATACTGACGTAAAATATCTATTTCCATAAAAATAATATAGTTGATTGATCTCGTGAAAAATTGCAAGGGGAAATGAGTCTGCGAGATTCATTAAATGAGTATCAGCGGATTATCTTTCGTCAGTACTTCATGTGATACGAATGAAAGTGAATCAGACTATAAAATAGCGCTATTTGAACCCAGACGTCATTTCCGACGCTCATTCTTCGCCGATTTACAGTACACAACTTTTGCAACCTGCTTACAACTTGAGTTGTAGTAGTACTGTGTAAATCAAGCACACAACTCACCTACGACAACATAGCCATAGGTGAGTTGTGTGCTTGATTTACACAAGTACAACTCATGCGACAGTTTACTGAAAAAATTCTATACCGCTAAATTTATGTTTCTATATCATAACCATTTGTTACCATCTTCATTTCACATGATATTTAGTACAGGTAGTCAAATGCATATATATAACACCGTATAACACAAGACATACGGCTGATTGTCGAACTCACGCTTGCAGAACGAATATTAAACAGTTTACTATTCTATTTCAAGGACCAAAACTGTGGAATTCATTACCAAAAAAATATTATTAACCAAGATACTCCTCGTTGTTTCAGGAACAGAATGCTAGAGCATTCATTATATTAATTATCTCAGCTACTTAGTTAATTTAAGCGCATCTATACTCAGTTTTAGTCCTATATTCAATAATATCCTATATCAGTGCATTAAGAGGTGGCCTCCCCTTGTACAAGCCTGATGGTTTCTGGAGGTCTCCTCGCCATCCGATACAATTAATCATAGTTCCTTTTTGTACCTATTTTTTCTATTTTTTTCTTGCTTCTAATTGTATATATATATATATATATATATATATATATATATATATATATATATATATATATATATATATATATATATATATATATATATATATATATATATATATATATATATATATATATAATATATATAACAAACAGAACGGCTACGTTTGAAGAAGTTTATTAAAAATGTTATATTAGATACAAAAACTAAATTTTCGACTGCATGCCACAGACTCCGAAGAAGGCTGTGGCATGCAGTCGAAAATTTAGTTTTTGTATCTAATATAACTTTTTTTAATAAACTTCTTCAAACGTAGCCGTTCTGTTTGTTATATATATGAAGTCTTGTCGGCTGAGCAGAGTACTGGCATTTGTCACACACACATATATATATCAATCAATCAATCAATCAATCAATCAATCTGTTTAATTAAAACCAATTTGCAGTTTTTAAAGGAAAACTGAATTACATGGAGTACTAATATAGCATAAAAATTTATATTAAAATGTACATATATATATATTATATAAAATAATGTTTATTTAGTTGGGACTGTTAATTAACTATAAAGCTAATAATATTTCCTAGTCACGAAGTTTTTTAACCGTTCAGTGGTTTCTGACCATAAAGGTTGTTCGGCCGTTCTGTCATTCCTTAAGTCATAGTCATGAGTTTTTACCCCGGGACGAATTTCCATAATTTGGGTCAAAGGGTTGTAGGGTGAAACATCACGTCGCAGAGATTCGACGAATTTCTTGCAAGAGATGTCTCTTCGAGTACTCAGATACTGTAAGTTTGAAATTTCAAGGGCTTCATCATATAACAGATCTGGATAAGCTATTCTCAATGCTCTCTTTTGAACAGATTCGAGAATGTCAGATAATGATTTAGGTATTGACGACCATACAGGGGATGCATATTCAATTCTGGATCTGATGAATGAGATATATATTTGGAAGATGTCAGAT